TGGATGGATGTGGGTGGGTGGCTGTGGGTGGATAGACTTGGGTGGGTGGACGTGGGTGGGTGGACGTGGGTTGGTGGCCGTGGGTGGGTGGACGTGGGTGGATAGACTTGGGTGGGTGGACGTCGGTGGGTGCACGTGGGTGGGTGACTGTGGGTGGGTGGCTGTGGGTGGGTGGCCGTGGGTTGGTGGACGTGGGAGGATGGACGTGGGTGGGTGGACGTGGGTGGGTGACTGTGGGTGGGTGGCCGTGGGTGGATGGACGTGGGTTGGTGGACGTGGGAGGATGGACGTGGGTGGGTAGACGTGGGTGGGTGGACGTGGGTGGATGGCTGTGGGTGGGTGGGTGGCCGTGGGTGGGTGGACGTGGGAGGATGGACGTGGGTGGACGTGGGTGGGTGGCCGTGGGTGGGTGGACGTGGGTAGATGGATGTGGGTGGGTGGACGTGGGTGGGTGACTGTGGGTGGGTGGCCGTGGGTGGGTGGGTGGGTGGCTGTGGGTGGGTGGCCGTGGGTGGATGGACGTGGGAGGGTGGCTGTGGGTGGGTGGACGTGGGTTGGTAGACGTGGGTGGATGGACGTGGGTGGGTGGATGGACGTGGGAGGGTGACTGTGGGATGGTTGCCGTGGGTGGGTGGCCGTGGGTGGGTGGCCGTGGGTGGATGGACGTGGGAGGGTGGCTGTGGGTGGGTGGCCCTGGGTGGGTGGCCGTGGGTGGGTGGACGTGGGTGGGTGGACGTGGGTGGGTAGACGTGGGTGGGAGGATGTCGAGCGCGGTCGCGTTTGTGTGTCTGGGAGATCCTTTTGTTAACATAGTCGGGGTAACGGGCTTGTGTTATGAAACGTAGGTCTGTGGGAACAAGTATCAGTGCAGTCATCTATATTATTATAAAATACAAAAGATAAAGGTGCAGCTCTGCAATGCCTTGCTCACATCACTGCTGGCGGAAAAGCCTCCATTCGCGGTAGTTCTATAGAGACCCTCTAGAGGGTTTTTTTCTGGTCTACTCTTCCACGCCCCACCACACGGGCACTACCAATCGACTGCTTCAATGTGACACAGCAGTGTCCTTTCGCTATGCGGTATCGTCTTACTGAGTCTCAAAACTCGCTCAATTTCAAGAGGCTCCTACTGCCTCGTGACGATTGCTTTGCACGTGCGGGGCTACACACACACACACTTTCTTTTCCCTGTCCATACACATGAACGTCGCATAGACATGAGCACATGGCCACAAATAATGAATGCTTACACACACATACACGTGTGTGTGGGTGTGTGGCACAATATGTTCAAGAGAGGGCTGAAATGAGGCCCCCTGCATTTACAATCGCTAAAATAAGGCAGGATTAAACAGCGCGGAGGCAGATTGACACTGGGGCTCCGCTCACAAGCACGCAACCGCCATTCGCCACTAAGTGGCGGTGACGTCACCACGGCGCTGTGCCAGGCTATGTGCACGTTAAGGCCACGTGAAGTGTCGAACGCACGTTGGCAGGAGGTCACGGGACAGACCCAGGTGCCATGGGTCGACTGATTGAGATGACCGGCCGATGCACCACCTGTGCCCCTACTGTGCCAACTTGCTGTGTTTTATCCACCCGGCGGTCCGCCCGTTGTTGTGAGCGTTGCTTCTATGCCCTCCGTTGTTGCTGGAGGGGCGACTGCCTCCGACTGTCCAGTAGCGTCCTTCACGGGCCTCCGCCACAGAGGCCGACCTTGACACCGCTGGCACCGGTCCTCTGCAAGTACCACTCAGCTCCACATCCTCCCGTACCCACACCACTCCATCTCTTCTCCAGCCCGTGCCGCGCCCGTTTAGGCCCCTTCTATCCTTCGGAACAAAAGGTTGTTTCGGGCACGCGGTGGCCGTGCATGCGGGCTACATGACCCAGCCAACCGGTGCCCTTCCCTGGCACGCGATGCCACTGGTCGATGTGCACGTGGTGCCTGGCGCGCGGCCCAATATTCCCCGTGTGCACGTGGCATCTTAAAAATACGCGTAATTTGGCTATTAGAAAAATAACTTAACAGTAATGTTAATTTCCAACGCAGGTTTAGATATGTAACTGTGGTAAGTTAATGGAGTTGTTGTTGTCAGCTGTAGTGGTGATGTTAATTCGAGCACGTGTGAACAACCACCATGCGAAAATGGCTGCCGGTAACACTGTAAAGTTGTCATTAAACATTTGATTGAAGTGGGAATATTTTCAGAACATTAACGACTGCTATACAATTCTGATTACGTATAAGATTCTTAAGTTTATTTAATTATTTTAGTGATTCGTTTAGATGGTTAAAAGTGCCGAAATAAAAGTTATATACAAACACATTGCACGATTATTGTTAAATGATAAAGGGTTATATGCTTGTTAAATAATTGATGAATAAGAGCTCAAAGTTGTGGTTTTAGTACATTAAGGTTACACTGCGTATGGATCAGTCCATTAATTGTGATGGAAATTATTTAATGTGTAAAGTGTGTTGAGTGTTTCCTCAAGATATTAATAAGTAATGGGAATTCAGTACAGTACATACAAATCATTGAATCCATGTGTAGTTCAGTAGTCACTTGCATTCCTGAGTCATTGGTTAATGTTGTAAGAAAATGCACTGTGATATATATCATTATTACATTTGAGCATTAATTTATCAGATTACATGCTTATTTACGTAGTTAGATTTGGCATTATAATTACTTAATAATCCTGAGGTAAAGTAGAAACTATATTATTTTTGAACCGAGAGAATTGGTACAAAGGTTTTATTCAGAGCCATTGAATTAAAGGACAGACTCGTGTTCGCATCAAACGTAAGAGGAGGAAAGTGTTTTCACGATTCCATAACAAACTCCGAAAATGGCCAGTTGGACTGAAACAATATCCTGCAAAAGGTTACAAAAGTTAAAAGGAAAATGTAGGGGACGACATTTGTGTATCATGCACTATACACACTTTGCACGTATCAAGCTGTGAATAAAAAACATCTCCTGGCAGTTGCATTTATGTCTTAACAATTGTGGGGGGTTTGTTTTATATATATATCACATAAATGCAATAACTTTCATCCTCTGGGCGGTGTTCAGTATTTAGTGGAGTTTGCGTCGTGGGCTTTGGATTGGATGGAGATGGCGCGTATCTGTGTGCGAGTAAATGTGTCTCCGTGTCCGTCTGTGAGTCTTCTCACACGCACGGATCAAGCAAGCTTGTTGAGATCTGCTCGTGTGCATGAGTGACATGGATTGTGGCATCACAGGACGGAGAGGGATGACGACGGTGTGGGGAAGGCTTCATCAAGAATGAATCTTTAGTAGGGGCCATCCACTTAGTACGTACGCAAGCGCACGCATTTGAGATTAACCCAAATGCGTACGCTTGCGTATGGGGGTCTACTGTCAATGTACGCATAGAAAACGGGGGGGGGGGGAGCCTCGATAATAATGTGTCTACATTGGCCTCCAAATGAGTTAGATAGTCCGGCGGTGGACTGTCTGTTTGCTTAAACACGTTAACATTAATAATCCTTGGTCGCTTCTGCGTGGATTAAATATCGTACGTTCTATAGGATTCGGGGAGGGTGGGGGGGTGCGTCAGGCGTACGTACGCAGGTGGGGGGGGGGTGTAAAAAGTTCGCGTGCGTACAGGGAGGGGGGAGGGGTGTGCTGAAGTAGCAACTAATTGGCACGTTTTGTTTACGTGACAATTATTAATTGGTTGTATTCGGTCGTGGTGGGTTAACGACATATTTATGCGATCTAACCCAAAAACAACTTTATTATGGATAATATTTGTCTCGCAAGCCGACGTGTTAAACTGCGGGACCTTAGTCTTTGTTTGTATAACTGAATCTCAACATGCCGCAGCGGACCAATTATAACCAACAATGGTCAAGCGTTGGCCTATGTTGATTTGTTTCCAGTAGTCCCTGTACTGGCACATACCACACGTACGTGAAATCATACATGTGTGAGCACGCACCACGTGTTTGAGTGAGTGCGTGAAAGTTATTCCTGCGTGAGGGTGGTGCAGAATATGTAAAGAGTCCCCCACCAGCCAGCCTTGCATCTTCGACAGAACTACGATGATGATGATGCTGACGATGATTGATGATCCTAACGACAGAGATGGTGATTATGTTGATGGCGGTGATGGTTATAGCAACGATGAGGATTAAGACTATGATGTCGATGGCTATGATGATGATTGTGTTTTGCCCTCTCAGTCGCGCTCTCATCCATCCGGCCCGTTTCCCCTGGAGAGAGAGAGAGAGGAAATCTCCATGCACTCCCAGCGCCAGAAAGGCAGCTCTGTACTTGTAGCTCGCTTTCTCTCTCCTCCCTCTCCCCTCCTCGTTTTCTTCTCTCTCTCTAGCTGGGTCGAGGTGGGTGTCGCGCGTCAACTTCAATCCGTTTACCCTCCGCATTTTTTCCTAATTCCAAGCTCAAATTGATTTCTGATCGAGCCTCTCTGCGCGTATTGCGCCCGCGAATTTAGGACGTGTCCAGTGAATGTTGGTAGCTTGAATAGGGGTGCATGGGGGGGGGATTATTTTTCTGTTGTGGAGTGTTCGTGGTATCTCTCGTGTAGTCACTCATCAGAACTGGTTCCCGGCCTCCGTGCTGGTTACACTGATATCTCTCCCAGTGCTCTCAGCGGAGCGGCACCCGTGCGTTTCTCGGCTGTTGGTGGTGCCCGAAACGCATTCAACCGGGCGTCGAGTCCTGGGAGAAGTCCTCGAGGTTTCCATCCAGCACCGAACAAGAAACATCAGAAATGCGGGTGAACGTATTCCCAGTGACACCCGCCGGACCGGCTCTTTTTTATCTCTTCCCGTCTTCTCTCTCTCTCTCTCTTTCCTCTCCAGGACTTGCACTTGGAGGATGACGAGGTTGATGCCACAGGCACATGGCACGCTAGAAACTCGAATGTGTGCTGAGGAACACCACGCGTGTATCCGCCGCGTGGCGCGGGTCTGAATTGAACATTGGCGAGATCACGTGACGATGGATCATTTACGGACGAGGCCGGGTGTGCTGCTACTCGTCCATGTACTTTTTTTGTTCACCCTCAAACGTAAGTCTGCTTGTTAATAAACCAATTTCATTAATATTCTTGGTTCTTTCGGTAAAGTCACGTAGAAGGGAAGTAATACAATAATAAAATTAAAACATAATAAAATACAATTCTCACGACGTTTCGGCCACAACGCAAGCAGCCGACAGACCTGTTCTTCACCTGTTCTTCACCTGAGGACGGCTGCTTGCGTTGTGGCCGAAAAGTCGTGAGAATTGTATTTTATTACGTTTCATTTTTATTATTTTATTATTTCCCTTCTACGTGACTTTACCTAAAGAACCAAGAAGATGAATCCCTGCAGTCACGAAAGCTTTAAATCAATTTCATTAACTTTCGGGCTCCGTGCGTCCGTGTCTGAGCGTGTTGCGTGTGTGTTAGGTTTCGTGGTTATTGTATCATTCTTCATTTGTTTAATGAGTGTTGCTTGTCGAAGCCAAAGTGTGGGTGCGCGTCCCGTGTCTTAACCCAGAGTGTGCCATCGCGTGCCGCTTCTGGGTGTGCGGTTATTAGTGAGAGAAATGGACACATCGAGGAAAGGGGCCACGTTATTCGAACCCAGCACGCGAACGTGGCTGGATTTAACTAATTGCGCCCCAAATATTGCGTAATATGCCACAGAACAAACCGGCTCATGTGGTGGCTGTGCCACTGCTCGTCGCTGCTGGTGCCTCTTGCGATTTATCTGGATGTGTGAATCAGTTTATGTACTCCACAGACCACGCAAGTAGCTAAACGCGTCACATGTTGCAAGAACAAATCTACATTGGGTCCTGTCCATTCAATTTTGACTGTTGTGTTAGCCGACTCTCTGTGTTGGATTGCATTGTATTTCTAAGTTCACGAGGTTTTTTTCTAACTGATGACGATTGCTTATGTTGCGATCGAAACGTCGTATTCTATTATTTAATTTATTTTCTTTCTACGCGACTTTACCGAAAGAACCAAAGAGTAAATTGTTAAATTGTATGTGTATATTTTTAGTTATTTATTTATCTTTACCATACTTTGTACTCCTATCCTGCTTTTGAATTGTTGGCTGTTGTTGTAACGTTCTAACCCGCCCCGGCTGGACATCTGTGAAAAAGAGCTTTATCGGATTCATCCAGGATTTATAAATATTTTTATTCTGCATCCCGGATCACTGATAAATCACGACCTTTACGTTGCACACGCAATGTATGGTGATCCTGCACATTTCGCCCGATGATAAACCGCAGATGGACGCTCTTTCCATCACAATGTACGAGATAGCTGATTTTATAGACTGTGTGTGTGTGGATGTGCACGCCTGTGTCTGTGTACCGTAATAGTGGGGAGCGGTATTGGAGTGGTTAGCACACAGCACTACGAACCCCTAGGCCAGAAATCGATTCCCGCTTACAGTCAAAAACATCGATGGCGAATATTTGAACTGGTGCTGGCCCTCCCCCTAGGTCGACTCAACCTTAAATTAGTACCTGGTGTGGTGTGCAGTAAACATCAGCATTTGGGGAGACAAAGGCGGCCGAGCGTGGTGCTGGCCAACAAACCCGCCCCCTCGTCTGCCGTCCCGGTCTTCACGTGTGCTCGCGAACAGCACTTGCCCCAACAGTCTGTTGAAGGCTAGACGGGGGGTCTTTGTCTTGTGTATGTGAAATTGATATTTGAGTGATGGGAGAAAGGGTCATGAATTGCGCCATCATCAGGAATCCGGGACCTGTCGGAGAGAGACGTTTCAGTCGCTCCGGCAGCAAAAGCGCGAAAGGGAGAACGATTTTGGACGCGACCCTGAGAGCATCGGTGAACAAGAATCACTTATTTTTTCTATTAAAAAAAAATTCACCTACGTGACTTTACCGAAAGAACCAAAAAGTAAAAATCAACCTGCTCATGTGCTGTGTGCGTTTTCATCGATTAATTATCCTGCGTGCAGCCACTTGTCGCGGGCTATAAGTTTGTTTTGTAAATGTCCTTGGGAGATTTTCTTGGAACAGTTATATTGATGTTTTAAATGTCCACTGTAGTAATTATACAAGCAATGCATGACGTGTGCGCGTGTGTGTGTGCATTACGAAAGCGATCAAATAAACTTTGCGAGCAATACACCGGTGTAGTTCACACACTGCGTTATGGACGCGTCCCAGTCGAGTTCGATTCACGGTCGTGGCTGACATCAGGTGGCGAGCAATATCGGAATCGATTCTGACACCCCTCTCCCCCCGCCTCGCTTCGCCTCCCCTCTTAACCAATCGTCAATTGCCAGCGTGGTGAAGTATGGTCAAACAGCCCCAATGGACCAGCCTATGCGTGGGGATGCCTTCATCCAGCAGTCAATTTACGAAGGATTGTACGATATTACTCTCGTCAAATGCATTGCCAGCCCAAACGTTCACGTAGTTTTAAGCTCAACCGTTACCACGAAATCTTATCCCTGCAATAGAATGCACTCATTTATATTAAAGGCAACCGATGTTCGTGCCTGCGTGACGTATATAGCCATGAGCATGAGTACTGGGGAGACAAAGGCGGCCGGGCGTGCCCGCTAGGCTCAGTAAGTTCTAGTTGTCTTGTAAAGCCATGAAGGAAGGAAATTAGGTCATTGTCTGTGTGTTTGTATATGACTTCACGCATGTGTGCCCTGATCATTCGTGTGATTTGTGAAGGCATTGGCGCATCAGAGGCGGAGAAAAGGCTCCTGGACTATCTGCTCCAGAAAAACAGATACAACAAAGACATTCGCCCGGCCATCAATAACTCGCAGCTGGTTACAATCGCCTTTCACATCTCCCTGTGCCAGATCGTCAATGTCGTGAGTGTCCTCAGCCCCCCCCCCCCCCTGTTTGTATTCGAGTAGAGATTTTAAAAGTAGATTTTCTTTCTTTCGTGGGTCATGATCTCATTGAGAAACCCATGGGTGGTCAGATTTGCTGTTATCTCCACTAAAGAGGCGTTGGGTCGAATCAGTAAACACACGTGCTGTCTGCAAACATATAGCTTGTTCGGGGCCGTCCATAAATGACGTCACGCATCTGGGGGGGGGGGGGTCAGACATTTGTGACGATGTGTGACGAGGGGGGGGGGTGAGAAATGTGACGTCACATAAAAATGCGCAACTTTAAATATAGACAACACGTTCTATTTAATTCAATATACTTTTTTATAAATGTTTCCTCCTACAACAGAGTGCAGCGCCACATTAAATACGCACTACAATGGCTAATAGTTTAAAGCGATTTGAAGCATTTGAGAGGGGGTCTGACTTTTTGTGACGCCGTGTGACTAGGGGGGGGGGGGTAAAAAATCGTCCAAAATCGCGTGACGTCATTTATGGACGGCCCCTTATATTTTAATTAATATTCATAAATGATACCTGATTTTTAACCAACATACTTCGAACCCACGTGTTAATGTTGGATGTATCTGTCCATGATTATATGGAATTTAACTTGGTGATCATCTGTCAACGAAATTTGCATTGTGGTAGTAGAGTGTATCTGCGGTATGATTTACTTCAGGGAAAGGAGTTCCCTGCAAATAAAATGTCACGATTCTGTTCCTCCTGTCTCACCTACATTCACCATCCAGAACAACACCCCCTCCACTCACCCTGCCGCCCACCTTCCGCCTCCCACACACAATCTATCATTAAATTAACGTACATATTAGAATCATCTTCTTGGTTCTTTCGGTAAAGTCACGTAGAAGGGAAGTAATAAAATAATAAAAAATAAAACATAATCAAATCAAATAATTCTCACGACGTTTCGGCTACAACACAAACGTCGTGAGAATTATTTGATTTTATTATGTTTTATTTTTATTATTGTATTACTTCCCTTCTACGTGACTTTACCGAAAGAACCAAGAAGATGAATCCCTGCAGTCGCGAAAGCTTTAAATCGAAAAATACATATTAGAAGTACAGAAAAGCACTTGCATTTGTTTGGTGAGTGCATGTGACCGGTTGACAGGTGACTTTAACAGTATATAGATGAACATACCGCGTTGCATGGTGCTCGCGTCATCAATTGTGATTTGTGTCGCAACATTTAGGATGTAAGGGAGCAGATAATGACGACCAACTTGTGGCTCATCCAGGTAAGATCGAAGCTTGTAAATACATCAACGCATTTCGATTTCAAGCTTTCGTGACTGCAGGGATTCATCTTCTTGGTTCTTTCGGTAAAGTCACGTAGAATGGACATAATAAAATAATAAAAATAAAACATTATTATGTTTTATTTTTTAAAACATTATTACGTTTTATTTTTTAAAGAATAAAAAGAATAAAAATAAAACATTATTATGTTTTATTTTTATTATTTTATTATTTCCATTCTACGTGACTTTACCGAAAGAACCAAGAAGATACATCAACGCAGTCGCTGCGAACACCTACTCGTCCTCGGCGCATGAACATCAGTCGTTCCTGAGACCCGTTCGTAAGTCGAATGGTTGATTAAGTCGGAACACATTCTGTGTTATGACATGTATTATGGCTCAACGAAAAAGGGAGGCATTGCTAAAATCATAAATAATCAATGTGGTTTACATTTGCATGTTATAATTACTGCATAGCAAATCAATGGCTGAGATTCCGTCTGTAGTGGAAGTACGACGGACGATCCGGAGTCTGAGACCAGGCGGAGATGATCTCCCAAGTGAAATGCTGAGGGAGAGTGGCGTTTCTGTATGCAGACTGCCCTACATGACATTATCACAAATGTCTGGACCACAGGACGGGTTCTGCAATATTGGAAGGATGCACTGGTGGTCCCCCATTTTTAAGAGGGGGGACCGCACAGAGTGTAACAACTACAGGGGCATCTCTCTAATCAGTGTGCCTGGAAAGGTCCTGGCAAGGATTATTCAACATCGCCTTGCCAGGCACGCTGAGGAGAGGCTTGCTGAGCCCCAATGTGGTTTCAGACCAGGGTGGTCCTGCACGGATGCCATATTCTCTGTTCGTCTGCTACACCAGAGGTGTGGGGAATTCCAACAAGACCGACATTATTGCTTTATTGACCTGGTGAATGCCTATGAAACCATCAACAGGCCAGGGCTCTGTGCTGTTCGACGTGCTTTCGGAGTCCCTGACCCTCTGCTCACAATCATTAAGGATCTTCATGATGGTGGGCAGGCCCGAGTAAAGCTATGTGGCTCGCAGCCAGAGCCATTCCCTGTTCACATGTTCACCTTGGGGTGCGACAGGGGTGTCCTCTGGCTCCTACAATGTTTAAACCCAACGACAGCGACTCCACGTGTGTCCTTAACAGACTGTAGGGGCAAGTGCTGTTAGCGAGCACCTATGAAGGCCAGCACGGCACACGAGGGGATGGCTGGCCAGCACCACGCACGGCCGCCTTTGTCTCACGAGTGGCAATGTTACACACTCCACTAGGTACACATTTGAGGCTGAGTCGACCTAGGGAAGGCCTAGGACTGGTTCGGATAATTGTTAGTGGTGTTGGCCGTGGACGGGTATCACACTCGGGTCACCGGGTTCGTAGCGCAGCACGCTAAATGCTATACTATTGCTCCCAACATACTTTCACACACACACACGTCCACGCCTGTACATACACACACACGCACACGTCCACGCGTGTACACACATGCACAAACACTCCCAGGGCGAGGCCGACTTATTACAACTCACAGAGGATCGCTCCTCTGAATAAAATAGTTCCCTGGTTCAGTTTGCAGTTGCGAGTTCGCATTTTTAAGTCGATCTAAAATTTTTTATGGAAGTTGGTTCGTAAGTACGGGCCTTCATAAGTCAGGTGTTGGTAACTCGACGACTGCCTCTAAAGTCTTTATACCATGAAAGTGCTTTGGGTCGTTTGCCAAATTACAATTAATATATTTTCGCATTGTTGTGTTATTATTTTAAGGGTTATGTCATCACATAACAGCGTGTGTTCATGTGTAAGTATCTTAGTAACTTTTTTCAGTCAATTCTACATTCTCGTGGCTGGGTCAAGTTCATTCCACTTCATGACTGTTGACTTCCTACTGCGTAGTGCGACTTTGCACGTGGTGCTCATTCACAGAGAACACGGTGGTGTGGGGGGGGGAGGGTTTCAGGGATTAATTCGACCTTCTGAGCCCACTGTTTCATAATAACACCGCCCTGAATTTACCCAGGAAAGCCTCATTGAGTATTAAGGCTCAGTTTTTTGAATGAGGACATTGGGATGTTTGGCCAATGCCATACATTAGTTTTTGGCGTGTGGGAGGAATCCTGAGCGGGCAGAGACAACCAACCACGCATCCTACAAGCTCCTTACAGATGGATTCCATCCAATTCTGTGCTTCAATCTCCTGGCCACCTCGCATCCCAAACCAACACAAAACTCCATCCGAGTATTAACCAGGTTCGATACAATTGAGCTTCTCAGATCCGATGAGATTTGACACATTTAGGGTCATATGATCGTAGACAATTGGTATGATATTCCGATATTAGATTGTTAACGGCACGATACCAGAGTTCGTGTGCAGTTGCTTGGGTGGATTGCTACATCAACAGGATTGTGCTATGTGGCTGAGGCTTGGAGAGGTCTTCATCCAGCAGCTGATTAATGATGTCTGATGATGATCACACTGATGATGCTATTAACAATATATGCAGTGTAATCAATTCGGTAAGGGTGACTTGTAAAATAATGTAACAGTTGATGGCCTGTACATACGTTTTATGCCCTGTCCTCAAAGCCTTTTATCTGCCTCTGGCGTGTTTATAGTCTATATACAATGATAAATTACTGCTTCATCAATAATGCACACGTTAATTGAATTCTATTATGGTACATAAAAAAACTAGATTTGTTTCCCCCCATTGGAAGTGAATGGAAGCTTCGACGTTATGTGCTGCAGTCTTCATTGCAGTGTTCCGGTTATAGAGACGACTTAACGGCCATGAGTAACTTTATTATGCGAGCTGGTCGAATAGAGGGGACACGCGTCAGAGAGCTAATGGGAGGAGTTTCTGAAAGAAATGGAGACAGGTGGAAAAATCTGCAGATATTGGTGAGTTACACAGGTATTGGTGAGTTACACAGGTATTGGTGATATCTGGCTGGCATTGGTTAGACCAGGGTCGGAGATCGACTTCACCAGCCATCCCTGTGTGGTCGATAAAACTAATAGCACTTTGTAGAAAATCAACAGCAGTTATTCCTGTGGATATACTTGTACCTATCATAATAAATTGGAGTTTCCAGGAGATGACTGACGGTCCACTGCATGCTTGCACCTTTGACCAGGCAAATCACTTGCGGGGAGGAACGGGGGGGAGAGCGATAGTGTAGTGGTTAGCGTGCTGCATCACGAACCTGGCGACTCGAGTTTGATTCCCACTCGCGCCCAACACCAGTGACGATTATCTCAACCGGTCCTGGGCCTCCCCTAGGTCAACTCAGCATTAAATGAGTACCTGGTGCGGTTTATAAACATCGCCACTCGGGAGACAAAAGCGGCCGGGTGTGGTGCTGGCCACCCACCCCTTCATGTATCGTGCGGGCCTTCATAGGTGCTCGCTAACAGCAGTTGCCCCAACAGCCCGTTAAGGCTATATGGGGAATCTTTGTTCTGGGGGGCAACTCCCTTTAATTGTTTAAGTTGTTGTGCACTTTGAATGCAATCTGAGAGTGTGCTTGCTGATTACAGGAGTGGGTTGACTACCGGCTCAGGTGGGCCCCAGCTGACTATGAAGGAATGGACGCGACGCGGCTGCCCTCCAAAGAGATCTGGCTTCCCACTATCGGCCTTAACAATAAGTAAGCATCGGCGCGGGTTGTGGCGCGCAAGGTCAGGCACCTCTCAGCGACCGTGTTTGATCCTCTTCATCTTGACGGCTGTACCAGCGGCAGTACAAGTACGATGTGGTCATTACTAAATATACTGGAGTTAGTATAGGATGAGGCTTTCCACCTCCCTCCCTCCCTGACTCCCTCCATCGCCTGCACGGTGCAGGTTACACCATTGGGGCGCCACAGTGGTGAGATGTTAACTACCTCGCCTGGTATGCAGGAGGTCGTGGATTCGATCCTGACAACGACGCCTGTATATTTGGGAGTTTGCACATTTTTTCCGCGTTCGCGTACATTTTTCTCCGGATCCTCCGGTTTTTCCTTCCACATTTAGAAATACGCATTTCGAGTATTTGGCGGCTACACATTTCCATGCGATGAGCCACTTCCTTTAGCTATTATTTGTGGCCAACTCGCTTCTGAAAAATACCTACATAGCTCAGTTGGCCGTAAAATCAAATGTTTAGTTTAGTCTGCTGATTCACACATGTGCGCTGTTTTCCCCTCGGATCATCATCATCATCACAAGTCACGATAAATGCACCGCTGCATGAAGGCGTCTCTTCGTCTTTGCCCCCGAAGCCGTTGCTAATTCTCACGACCCCGTGATGCAGTAAACCACCTAGCTCCTGCACGCGAGCTGATTTCATCGCTCCATCTCGTTGTTGGACGCGTTCCGTCCCTTACGTTACGCGTGGTGGTGGGTTTACTTCAGGTAGATTTTTTTAGTTCATTCATGGATTTTCCAAGTGATTCTTCTGAAAAAAAAGTTGGTGGGGGGGCCTGAGGTTGGGGGGGGGGGTGTAATGGGCGTGTTCATGGGTTGTTCCGCAGCAAAGGGAATGAAAAGGGGTTCGCGATAATGGTCAGGCCAAGTATCCTGATTGGCCTGGTGGCATTAACCTTTCTGAATAGCATTATTTCGCAATGTCAGCGCCTCCATGCCTACCTTAACAGCAGGAGCAGAGCAGCAATGCAGCGGTAATCGCAGTACTGTAATATGAAATATTACGCCTCGGTGGGGGGCTTAAACGCTCGTGTGCGTCTCTGTTCCAGTGCTGACGGCGAATACAGGGTTCCCTTACACAGCAACGCCATAGTGTCCTCGGATGGGAACGTCACATGGAAGCCGCCTGCCATCTATAAAAGTTCCTGCAAGATCAACGTCAAGCACTTCCCATTTGACCAGCAGAATTGCACCATTACGTTTCGCCCCTTGGTCTGTGACCACAACGAGATCGACCTGGTGCTCAAGCACGACTTGGCAAAGTTGGACGACTTCACTCCAAGCGGCGAGTGGGACATCGTGTCCTTGCACGGCCGCAAAAACAAGGACCCTTCTGACCCCGCGTGCGTAGACATCACCTACGACTTCATCATCAAGAGGAAACCTCTCTTCTACACCATCTACTTCATCATACCATGCGTGCTCGTCAGCTTTCTCACAATCCTCGTCTTCTACCTGCCGTCTGACTGCAGCGCGAAGATGACTCTGTGCCTCTCCGTGCTGCTCGCTCTCACCGTGTTCCTGCTGCTCATCTCCAAGATCGTGCCGCCCACGTCCCTGGACGTCCCGCTCATCGGCAAATACCTGATGTTCAACATGGTGCTGATCACCTTTTCCATCGTGACGAGCGTCTGCGTCCTGAACGTGCACCACCGATCTCCGAGCACGCACACCATGCCGAACTGGGTCAAGAAGGTCTTCCTGCACAAGCTGCCCATGCTCTTGTTCATGCAGCGGCCCAAGAACAGCTCGGCACGCGACCGCATGAGACAAAAACATTTGGGCGCCTCGTTCGCGAGCAAGGTGCACGGCGAGGGTGCGGACGCGTGCTTCGTGAACCCGGCGTCCGCCAACAAGTACGGCTTCAAAATGCAGGACCTCTCGGGCCCCTTCCGGAACATTTCCGAGCTGAGGTTCCGCACCTCGTCCAAGTGGACGCCCGAGATGCAGGAAGCCGTGGACGGGGTCAGGTTCATCGCGGACCACACGCGCAGCGAGGACGAAGACCAGAGCGTACGCGCCGCTCGCATACACACCCCCGTCGACTCACGTGCACACGTACAGCAGCGGGGTGACCTTGTTTATGGGGGGGGGATAAAATTGGGGGGAGGGGGGGGCTGAGGTTGCAATAGGGGGGGTAGCCCCTCCCTGCCCCAATGCCCACCCCCTCCCCGACGCTTCGGGTCCGTGAGTGGACGAGGCCTCCTCTTCGCCGTTCGGGTAAAGGGGCGGGGTTTTGAGCACAACTTCAGCACGCTGGTCAGCGGCCATTGGCTATTCGTAAGGAGTCACGTGCACCCACGATGCACAATTCTGTTGTTCGCGTGAATCGACACCGTCGTCGATTGCTTACGCAAGCAATTCGTGAGCTTAGAAAGCAAGAAATCACCACGAGTCGATCAAAGCATAGTTACTATTCCGCATTGGGCTCTTGTAGCACTCGCAGACTCACAATGGTCATGGCTCCCATCTCCTATAGCAGCCCTAAGCCGCTTTAGGAGATGGGCCAATCAGTTTCAAAGACAATGCATATATTATCAGAGTATGTCTTTTGTTTGCATTCTGACCACTAGTATATGTGGTTAATGCAGACATGATTCCTTGTAAAAGGTTTCAGTTCGGTGTTTTAACATGTTAACACCTGGTTTGTTGCCAGAAAAAGTGGAAAACCTCTTCTCATATTTTGGTACTGGCAAAGGAGGTCCCATGATGTAGCTGCTCACCCCAAGCTCTCATTAATCTGATAGTGCGTTGTCTTTGTGCTGTACGCCTTTTGGCGTCCTCTGGTCTAACACAGTTTTGAGACTAGGCTAAAAAAAAAGCTGTCTCTGGTATGGACCAATCCGTTTCAAAGACAATGCATATATTATCAAAGTATGTTTTTGTTTGCATTTTGACCACTCGTATTGTGGTTAATGCTGACATGATTCCTTGTAAAAGGTTTCAGTTTGGTGTTTTAACATCTGAACACCTGTTTTGTTGGCAGTAAAAAGGGGAAAAACTATTCTCAGCCCTAAGCTAGTGGTAGACATTCAAACTGGGAGGGCAGGGTGCAAGTATATCCATAAGGCAACTACTGTGGACTTACGGCAAAGTGATACCGATTTTAAACACCCTTAGATGATGATAGGCTGATTTAACCCCCTACATCTGACCGGTATTTATCCTGGCAACCTTCCAAATGTTTAGTCAAGCGCTCTAAATGAAATTCCGCCGGTCCGCATAAAGTAGTAATTAACACGCGTGAGGGTTCACTCTCGCGTGTAACCCTTGGTGTGCTCAACCTGCTCACGGTGTTCAGTTCTACCGCACGGCACATTGCACCAAACTAAGTTGCACGAACGCATTTTGGATCGTCATTTTGTCTCATCCGTCGCCCATCCTTGTATTAATAATCGTCTTCGATTCCAGTATGGATAAGAGAGCCTCGGATGTAACACTGTGGTAACATTTTACAGGTCTAAAATGTGCATACGTGTGACACGCGTGTAGAAAAAAGTGTAGGGCACACAACCAGGCAGTGGAGTGGTGGTGCAGTGGTGAGCGCGCTCCTTCCGTGAAACCGGCTGAGTTAGATTTCCGGCCACGGCTAACATCAATGGGGAGCGAAATATTAACCGGCCACGGCCCTCCATTTACACCTTCACCAACCCTCGTTGACCAGCGCAGTGAAGTATGGTCAAACAAATCCCCCATCACCAACATGTTGTGGGGAGGCTTTCACCCAGCAGTCATTTGACAAGGGGCTCTAAATGATTGCATTAAAATAAATTTCACACCAGAAGAAACATTACAAAGTTGTTTAGCGTAGTTGTCAAAGCGTGCAGTATTTGTGACGTTAATTCCTCAAACCTGCTGAGAGCGAGAATCGCAGTACCACACGTTTGGAATACTTCCCTGATGCCAAGAGAACATTCATAATCAAAGATTCCCAGTGCAGCCTCCAAGCAATCGAACTCAGAACTCAGGTCGCCGGGGTCGAAGCTCATACGCAAAAAAAGTACACGCACCCACCGTGCAGACGTTCATTCTTCCTTCTCCACGAGATGGTTTTCCCTTCTCGTTTTTAATTAAAGGCGACATTTGCGTATAACAATAGCTGGGGTCGAGGATGCCCTGCGAGTGGGCGAAAATACATTTGCAAAGAAATCCCCCAGCAAAGCCTGGATCTTCCCTCAAAGATTGCGCACACGTGCGTGGCTTCATAAGGGGGGTGCGTGCACAGAGGGGGACGACGGGGGGCTGGGCGGTCATGAGGATTTACAGGTTGGGGGGTGTGGATTACAATGGCAGTCAGGATTGATTACAGATCGAGGTGTCTGGTCACAGGGTTTGCACGCGACTCGCAGATTCCCGGAGGCCCCTGTGTGTCCATATGTATATCCTCGTACCCTACGCCACGTGACTTGGTTCACTGATGATGAGGATTGTTGAAGTTGCATTTTGAACTTCAGGATGAGCCAACCCTATAACTGAAACCAATCAACCCATGGGCTGTTATTGTCGAGTGTCCACATTGGAAAATGTTGGTTTCAGTCTGATTAATTATTACGAGCAGACTCTGCTATGTGTGGTGCATTGTTTGACTTTTAGCCCTTAACGTCAGTTGCGGTCGCCTATATGTCCGATCAAATAGAACCCCTCCATCTACATATGAAGAGGACTGAACACATTCGCCAAAAACACTGTGGCCTTAAAATATATATTGTTTTGAGTCCACTCAATATATTCGTCAAAAACACAACAAAATGGCCGCAGTGTTTATTAAATGTGTTGAGTTTATTGTTAATTGTGCTCCACGACCAACGCAGGAGCATCGCTGAATCACCTGTGAAGAGATTCGGGTCAAAAGGGCAACTCAATGTGACGCAGAAATTCGCGAATTTTTAAAATATATTTTTTGGGACACACGACAAAAATATATAATCATGGCGCCGGGTATTATGGGAATATTCATGATCCTGTATCAGCCAACAGAGTTTAAGTTAATAGGCCAGTGGGGTTGATGAGATATAATTGAAATTTGTATTTTTGGAGGAAAAGGTTCCTGAAATATGTCGATTATGCACCGCCAACCTATCTGGATTGTTAATTATATCTTAACAGCTGCCAATCAAAAAACAACAAAAAACTACAAGTACCTATTTCTCTCCGTATGAAATATCTTCATGATTAAGTTATATAGAATCAGCATTGCATGATTTGAATTAAATATATTTTGGTTAAACCTGTATTTAATTTGTGAAACAGTAATTAGTTCAAATGTTATGTCGGTTTATGAACGACGGGCCAAACGTCACCACCCTCAACCAAGTCGACTTCCATTTGGTCTCGGCCACAGGCGGCCATGTTGGTGGCCAGGATAATGGTGGCACCAAAATTGCGGCATCTTTTTTGTTCTTCTCGCTATCACGGTAAAACTCAGTGATGGCCACCACGTTCTCATGAACGGTGAGGCTAAGACAGACTGTGTGCACTGGACCCACCACAGGCTATGGTTCAGTGGCAGACGGAACGGGTCCATACGCCCTTCCGTTTGGCGCTGGTGCGTTCCGCCATGAATTTATGACGCGGGTTGAAATTGAAAAGGTCGACCGCGTTTAAAATATTTATACAGACATTGCATGGCAGCGGCGCCGCTGTAAATCTAATCTGTGCTTAATTAAGTGCAGATCGAATATAAAAAATACGCACGTGGTGTACTTTTTTTATCAAACCGATGTAATTACTCAGCCATTGGCGTTTAAGAGAAGCCACGTCGTGCCCATCATACATTCCCAGCTTCCTCCATTCTATTTTGTTCATGCTCATGGCAATATGTTCATGTAGCTCTCTCGCCATGTTTCTTCCTGCCTTAGCAGTCCACCTGCTGTATTTTTTCACCTCAAGACGATTGCTTGTGTTGCAATCGAAACGTCGTGATTTGTATTTATTTATGTTTCCTATCTACGTGCCTTTACCGCAAGACCCAACGAATGTATTTAGCCTTGTTACAAAGGGAGACCACTTTCAAATTTTGGCATTAAAACGTGTAGGACTGCTGAACTTTGTCGATGGTTCCAAATCAGAGATTTATTTTCGTATCCAATGAATCATAATTGCCTTTGAAGAAAAACCATTGCCGATTTATCAGAGGGGTGTGAAACTGAACACGAGGTCAAGTTGAATTCGACCAATAAAGCCAATTATGTGACCACCATCTACACATGTAGGGGTGGAACGGTGGATCAGTGTTCAGCGCACCACCCGATGAAGTTGGCGATCTGAGTTAGATTCCTGCCCACGGCTAACATCAGTGGCAAGTAATATCTGAACCTGCCCTGGGCATCCTGCTCACCAACCCCGACTGACCAGCATGGTGAAGTATGGTCCAACGAACCTGCATGACCAACATGATATGGGGAGACCTTCATCCAGCAGTGGATTGACAAGAGGATTGCATCTACTCACGTATCAGAACACGAATGTGCTTGGAAAACAAAAACGCAAGTAAAAACTGTGAGGGCTTTTGATTGGAATTACTTTCATCTACACTGACCACAGAATATACGTCTTCCAACTAAAAATGTAACGTTGGGTCAATTTTGATTCAGCGTACCTAAGCACGTGCCACCATTGGCCCAACGTCACGTGATTGCCAGGTACCTTATTCTCTTTGTTCTCATTCTTCTGCGCAGGTGATCGAGGACTGGAAGTACGTGGCCATGGTGATCGACCGCCTCTTCCTGGAGATATTCGTGGTGATGTGCGTGATTGGGACCGTGGGGATATTCCGACAGCCGCTGTTTCAGAACTAAACGACACCAACCATCGCTTAGCTATTAAAATGGGGGGTGGGAGCTTCCCACAGCGGCAAACAACAACCGCCCCCTCCCCCCATAGCCGTCCTCACCCATACCTTTGGAAATGACTTAATTGCTTTTAATATACCAAAACGACACTCATACGTGTCATGTATATGGATATACAGTACACATTTCTCTAAACCGAGCTTTGTATAAAAGTACGTGAAAATTCAAGCAAGCCACACAAATATGAGCGAGCCACGTGCTATCACGGGGTTAATGAACGCAGCCCCCCAGCTGCGGCAGACTATGAATATGCGGCCATGGGACGATCACAGTGTGGCTTTGCGCTAAAGAATTAGAAAGAAAAGTTTTTGCATTCGAGTTTTCAACTAATAAGTTGATTGCCCATGCAGTGACCGGATACATTGATCGGGTCTAATCGGTTCTGCATGCATAGAGCCAATCGTAATCTTCACGGGTGTGGGTGATTGAACCTCACAGGTGATGGGTCTCGTCAGTCAACAACTGGAGCGTGGCAGCACGATGGACCAGGAGGACATCACTTTACCAGCCAGGGCTACAACGGCCAGCAGAGAGGCGTTTGCGTTATAGAAAGGACCACTCAGGGAGACTATAAGTAAACCTTTACACCGATTATACATTTTGAGGATGTATCTATGGGTCGAAGGGGAGCTTAATAGGGTTCCACTTGACATTGCAAGGAGCCTGGCGGGGGAGCCTATCTGAGGAGCAGAGGTGACCAAGTACGGGAGTGCAAGGCCCAGAATCCCCAAGTGTCTGCGTTAGTTTCCTCAAAGGAGACTGGGCACCAGCCTTGTGTGACCCATAGTGTTGTGGTTACACTAACAGCCTTGTGTGACCCATAGCGTTGTGATTACACTAACAGCCTTGCGTGACCCATAGCGTTGGGGTCGGACATGTGAGCTCTGCTTTAGGGTATTGAGAGCGCATGTTCTGAGCTGTGGGTGTTTCGCTGAGATGAACACAGGAGCGGTAACTGTGGATACGTGTCGATGGCTGCACAGAACGGTGTAGAACTGAATGTGCCTATAACTAGAGTTTAGGGTGGGTGAGCGAGGTGTGTAAGCAGGACTTCTCTCTTGTGCACAGCAGTAAGCCACAGCCAGTTTTCCAAGGGCTCGCCTTGTCTAACACCGCGTCGATTTGGTCGCATGGACGGGGTGGTACCAGCGTCTTGCGACTCGTATCTGATACAGTTGCTACACGGGCTAGTGACTGACAAAGAAACTGTGTTAACTGGCCGTGCATGAGTTTGTGATTTGAGTGAGCGTGTCATTTGACCACGATCGCGTCGGTGTGTGTTAGACGTAACGGGGTGCCCGGATTGTGCCGGCACTCTGCCCTTCTCTTTGTAATATCCCACGGAGAGCTCCGTTAAAGTGAACTCGGACCCCAACCTGGTGGTGGGGGTGTGGATTAAATGACTTTCATGACATAACCGCGGGTGGGTAAGTGAAGAAGAGAGATAACGTTATTAAAAACACACACGCAACTTAATGCGTGCAGCCATTCAACACACAGCTCACCTGTGGTGGGGTAGAGTGTGGGATAATTATACATCTTTATGGATGATAATTGGTTTTTTTTACCATTCTATCTGGCAACAAAACTGACACTTTTTTTACAAGGAGTCATGTTTGCATAGACCACAATACCTGCTGCCATAATGCAAACAAAAAACATAACTCTGATAATATATGCACTGTACTTGAAGTTGATTGGTCCACACCCGAGACAGCTTTCCTTAGAGCCTAGTCTCACATGGGTTGGACCAGATGACGCCAAAAGGCGCACAACTCAAAGACAACGCACCATCAGAGTATGAGAGCTCAGGGTAAGCATTTATACCATTGGAACCTCATTTGCCAGTAAAAAAGATAAAAAGGTATCAGTTTTGTTGCCAGATAGAAGAGTTAAAAAACCAATTATCATATTTTTTTACTGCCAATTGAGGTTCCAATGGTGTAAATCTTTAAGGATGTTTGGCCATCGTGGAAGAGTAGGCCAAATATCCCTCTTTGTGGAATGGCATGAGCAAGCAATTACAGGGCTGCACCTTTACCTTTAATCTCCGTCAAGCGAGCGCGATGAAGAGCCCAGAGTTTGACTCTGGTCTGGGTAGAACTCGCTTTACAATAAATGAATTCCACAGTCGAGTTGATGGTAAATTGCCTCTTTGATGTTGATGGTGATCGAGTTAGCGGTGAGGTTGTCCTTTACGCTCGCACACAATATTCACTCATTCGTGTCGGAGATCCGCTGATTATATGCTTAAGGTTATGCGCATTGTGGATTCGTATGGGCGGCCACCATTTATCAAATTAAGGCGGTCGCAATTAACTGTGGATTGAACATTTAAGTAATTAACCCCTGGCAAACACAGAGCAATGTGCGACTATCGCACATGGGCGCTGTTCATGATCCTGGTTTTCCCGGACTGCACAATTGTTCTGCTGCGATGGACATTTCTCGCGAGAAACAAACTTGGTCGCACACAAACGTGCGACTCCTACCGCACCGCCCTTCATCGCTCAAAGCATACATCGTGATAGATGCAAGAGAAGCACTGCTAAGTGGAGCGGCGACGCAGTGGTTAACGATTCCCGGGCCACGGCTTTAACGTCCGTAGCAAGGGGCTATCTGAAGAGGTCCTTGGGCACTCGTTTCACCAAGCTGCACTGACCAGCGTGGCACGGTCCGGTCAAACACCCCCCCACCCCCACCTTGACTGAAAGGCGAGGGGAGGAGGTCTTCATCCAGCAGTGGACAGAGTTGCTGTGCTTTGCAACCCATTGCAGGTGGCACACACGCTCTGAGCTGCAGCATCGACGACGGAGCAGAATCATGTGTCTGGTTATCGCTTGATGTGTCCTTAATTCAATCACCTGAGGTCTCATTACGATTAATTATAATTCAACTGTCCAAGGTACACGTGGTCGATGAACGCACAGTTGTTTAGTGACGTTGGGTGCACAGTTGTGATTTGTTCACAATGCACGTGGATTTGTTTTGCTGCCTGACTCATAATGAACACGTGGATGAAGGCTCCCAATGTGTTGCGTCGTTCAGGCATGGCAACGGCCCGAAATCGTTAAACCCCATTAATAAACAGAGTGTGAGACTGGCACAGTGACAACTGCTGCCCGACCTACGACCCCGTGTCATTCGATAAGATGACGACACGAACAACCCCGATTGAAATTGCCACCATTTGCCGAGCAATTTGATTTTACCCCTTAAGTAGTGGCTTAGCGTGGCTGGCCATGGGGCCACGGTGCAAAGGATGAAAGGGTCCCCCTCCCTGTCATAAACAAACCAACACTCATTGCTTGCAAAGGAATGGAGCAAACATCCAAATCTAAGGCCGTCCTTGAAATACTTCTGGATGAAGAAAAAAATACAATATCTTAAATTCACGCTAACAATAACAGCAGGGTTCACAGATAACGCGAAATCGTAGTGATTGCTTGCTCCTGTGTGGTGGAGCTTTTCAATCAAACCGGGGATTAACGGAAAGGCCCCTAAGCCCCTTTTAACGATGATTGTGCTATTGTACATTTCCCCTAGAAGTGGATCGTTAGCAATAGCGGAGATGGAAGGTTCGTTTAATCACTTTACTATTGGTGAGGCTGTGCCGACGCGTTAGGGTGTTGCTTGGTGCTGTGTCCGGTCATGTTTAATGTGCGTGGGGTTGATGGTGTGATGGGGGTGATGGGCGAGCGAGTCGTGGGTGATTGAAGAAAGGCCGGGTGGTGGGTGAGGGTCTGAATGTTGTGCGCGATGATGAGTGAGTGGGCGCGGAGTGTGTGCTGACTGACGGTGGATGCTCTGCGGGGCGATGGTGTGATGGGCGATGGTGTGTGGAGGGCAGGGTGAGTGTAGCAAAGCTACCTTGTAAATCGAGCTGCTGTGAACCAGTTTTCACTAGTAATAGAGGTTTTTTTGTTGGGTTAGATCGCGTAAATATATAAATGTGTCGGTAAAACCCGCCACCACCCGACACAGCCAACTAGTAAGGGTTGTCACGTAAATAAAACGTGGCCAATTCGTTAGGTGTTGAATTGAGTTTCCACCAGGTTCACGGTTCGATACCGGGTGCAGTGGCCGGGTTATTTCGAAGGGAATGACCAAACCACTGCTTCTAAAGAGAACGTGAAAGATTAGGGTGAAATACTTGGTAAGAGGTAGGCTAATGCGAGCCGGTCAGTGTGGTGAAGCGTGGTTGGGGAAGTCGGAGGTGGGGGGGGGCGCAAATACGCGGGGACATACGAGTGCAGTACAACGATTGATTTTCCTGAGCACTGCCCTCTGCTGACAACGTAGCTCCACAGCGGACTACAGGCACCAGCCTCAACCCCCCCCCCCCCCCCGCTTGGCTTGCGAGCTCTGTGACGAGATCGGGTGCGTTGCGGGTAATTTGGTTTGTCCAGGCCCCCCCCCCTCACCCTGTGTAATTTACTTAACGTCCACGTCGCATTCTCTGGCGAAAACCGGCAGTAAATCTCTGTGCGCTCGCTGTCCTGCTAGTTTACAAAATAAGTATAACCCGTAAAAACAAAGTTTTTCACTATAAATCCTTTATATGCGTGGCAGCGAACTTTATATAAAGGATTTAAAAATATATTCGCCTGTGGAGGACGCGGGGATCGATCCCGCGATCTTTGGCATGGGAAGCGAGGGCGCTACCAACTGCGCTACTCCGCCACGGCCTGTGGAGGGGTTACGCTCTGGGCTCTTACACTCTGACGTTCAGCCAAAGCCAATAATGAGTTCTTTTGAATATATGTAAAATATTTTTTTTGCCTAAAAAGTGTACAATTTTGGGAATTTTTTTTCACGAACATTAATTGTCTGTCACAACGAGTCTGTGTGGAAAATGTCAGCTCGATTGGATCACGGGAAGTGGGTTAAAAAACGACCGAAAGATTTGCACAGTCGTAAGCAAGCAAGCACGCAAGCAAGCGAACTTAATATAAAGGATTTAAAAAGAACACAATTGGGATTCAATTCTACTGGGTGGACTTCCATTGGCCGAGTGAGCATCGCTGAACGGACCTCTCCAAACCCCATCTGAGACTATAAACTCCGTTTCCCTGTCAGTTTAGCTTTGTGTGTTTCACAGGCGCTCCATCGTTTAAGAGCTCCAGGGCTCTGGAGAGTGGAGGATTTGGAAGAATACTTTTTTTTGTCAG